AAAAAAAAAAAAAAAAAAAAAAAAAAAACTGTTTTTTTTTAAGTCTATTTTGTAAGTGTAAAAAGTTTCTTTTTTTAGAAGGTGCATCAGTCAAGTTCTTTCAATTATTGCCACGTGCTTTCAATTTTCTTTTCATACTTTTCATAAGTTGTTGTTTGAATTTATCATCTTATCATATTCGTTGTATTAACTGTTCATCTTCGAAATATGTGATGTCCCGTTTTTGCCCGTTCCCTTTCTGCTTGTTTCTGTTCTTCTTCAGCCATTAACGGTCTTATTTCACCAATTCAGTGATTTAATTCCTTTCAGCAAACACTTTTCCTCTCCAATTTCATTTTTATCAATTTTCCCTTTATTTTTGACTCATTACTATTGTTTCCTTCACCTCCTGTGCCTACTGATTTGTTCATCACTATTTTGTTTTTCAATAGCAGAATAACATCCAATCTTTTGATAATTTACTTTACATCGAACTCGTTAATTTATCACCATACTGCCAACAGTTCTATTTCTTCATACTTGTTTATTTGTTTGTTTATCTTTTTTTTTATTATTGTTTGTTCATTCATTCATTTTTGTATCAATATTTAACTCTCGTCTTTATTTTCCTCCGCTCCCCTCTGATACCACCACATCTTTCTTGTCCCACTCCGTTCCGTTATTTCTGTTACATAAGTACTGTATCGTTTCATCTGACGTGCCCGTTGAATTTTTTTTGCATTCTTCCTCGCTCTTTTTACTTCACGTTTTCTTTTCCATTTAATTGCTTCGAAACAAAGTTGTGAAAAATAATAAACAGCTACATAATTCAGACGATAAAAATCGTTTTGCGCATGATAACCATTAAAAAAATGACAGTGAAAAAACTATAGTTGAATTTTTACAGTGGTATCAAACCAAAAAGTATCGTTTTCAGTTGGCCGCGTATGTCGTTCTAGAATAGTTTACGGATAATGACAAGCGCCTTGTTCAGCTGAGAGACTGTAAAACTCAAGAACGAGGAGTGCTACCAGAAAATTTGAAAATTAATTATTTTTATATATTGAAATATCACGACAATGGACTTTTGGGACATTTATTTGAAACATCATTGGTACTATACACTTGTCCTAAAAAAAAGCTTGCTACCTTTTAATCCCTTCCTTCAGTTTAAAATTAGACGTACCGCCGTATCAATCCAAAGTTTCCAAAAAAATAGTTCATCTCAAGTCGCATGATTATTCCGAGTTATTTCGAAAGAGAAGGAACTTTGCTTCAACTTTTATTTCTTCTTTGGAAAATTTTTTTGATATGTAAGAATCTATGCAGCATTACGGCTCTAATGCAACTTACATTGTCATTGGTGAAATAAGTATAATGTCAGAAAAGTCTGTGAAGTACCAAGACCCTTATGGCTTCTTAATAAACTTTTTATTTGCTGTAAAAGTAAAAAATATTAATAATGTTATCATATATGCTTGTCTCCATTTAGGCTTGCTTACTTTAACCATCACTGATCCTTTAAAGCAAAAAGCTTAGCATTTCAGTAAGCTATCCTGTCTTGAAAACTTAGCGACAAATTCCACGGATAAACTTCTCAGCCATCAAGAGACAACAATGCTATAACAACTTGAACAAAAACAACCCGTATGAAATGTTCGGAGGAAATCATGAGACTAAAAGATGAATAAGGAAAGCATTTACAATGCAGCACAAATTCAGAACAAAGTCGCCCACTTCTTCAGCCCCAGAACTCCAATCGCGAAGGACCAAATCCAAATAATCATGATCTCCCACGTCCTCTATTTCTACCCCTTCCTCTCTTCGGACCATGAAATCCAGCAACTCTTTGTCTCTGAACGTGATCACCGCTGGTAGATAAGTGATTCAAATTAATCAGCCCGGCAATTGAATCATCACAGAAAATGCACCCAACGTAAAACGACCCTCCGTTCGGTAAAGCAGAATTACTCTGAAATGCGTTTTAAAAGCTAAAAATAAACTAAGTATCCCTCTTGAGGGTGACAGTAACCCTAAAGAATAATGCGATGAACTCCTTTGATCAAATAACCACTCCTTTAATTAAGTGGACAACCTTATAAAAAGCAGAAAGCAATTGGGCGCCACACTTATCACATTGCTTTTCCTCTACTTTCACTTTAGAAGCCCCTTCGAACAAAGTGACAACTGCTGAGCAACCATTGCAAGAAAGTCGCCATTTTGGGCCCGATTGAGGATCAAGAACAAGAATACCGTAAGTAGAATGATTTCGTGGACACTGCACCACTCCTTGGGTTCTGTAAAGCTAAGGGAGATAAAAATTTGTTATCATTTGAATCCCCCAGAGGGAAAAGTCCAACTTTATCAGTAAAATATTAATGAATTTTGAAAACAATATAAACTGTGGTAATAAAAAAATTTATACTTAAAAGAATTAGGACAAGTAGGATGCGTGCAAAGGTTGCAACCAGAACCTCCCCTCATATCCTCAAAGGGTGGATTGTTATAACAGTAGGGGCAAAGAGCATAAGAGCAAGCCAGTTTTCCTTAAAACTTCATAACTGTAAATGAACAAATCAATTTGACTTCAATAACCGTAGATACCAATATTCGCCTACCACCAGGTCCTTGCCAGTAAACTAAGTCAAAATCATCCAATGGGCACTTTTTTTCAGAATGTAATTTCAAAATTCCATCCTTGGCTGAAGGTAGTGAATAGGTGTCCTTAAAGACTTATCACTATGTTAGAAGAAAAATAAACAAAGGAGCTTCAAGCAATTAAAAATAAGCTAACTTGGCAGTGAGGACAATGCAATCGCTGCGGCTTTGACGCAACCAATTTCATAAATCGTCGACATTTTCCACATCGGCAGAATGGCTTGCCAGAGTCTGCCAACGTCGTAAAAGAATCTAAATTAATTTGAAAATAAAAAAAAGGTAAAAATAATTCAAAAAAAAATATATCGGAACAGTTTGGGAAATGAAACCAAAAACATTTGAAAGAAATATCAATGCCAATAATAATGAAATTGCAAACCGGCTTTTCTCAAGGAAAGAATAAGAATAATGATTAAAAACAAAACCTTCAAACAGCAAATCGACAGCTAGAATATTTTCAACAAAGTAGACAAATTTCAACTTGAAGTTTTCCAGAACATGCGTCTTTACCTTAAGAGCGTCTGTAAGTTTACGTAAAACAACTTCATTAAAAAAATATCACGCGGCTTTTTAGAAAATCATTTAATGTTTAACTTTGTAACCGTGTAGGGGCTTCACTCTGCTTCCCTTCTGCCACGACAAAAAACCTGGGTAATCAGGGGAACAAAAAATTATGAAATAAACCTACTGCAAAATAGTCAGCTCTCCCTTTTGCAATCAAATTCAGTTGTGCTTCTACTTCTGCACGCATTGTAGCTGACACCAAATCTTGATCAACTTTCCGATAACCATGAACTAAGGCAATCCCCAATTTTGTAGGTATTAGGCGTCTTGATTTTCCAACCTAAACAAAATGACAATATAAAAGCAAAGTTCACACAAGAAGTTCCAGGCAGCACATAGGTATATATACATATATATCGGCCGTTCCATGTCAAATCGCACACTTTTGACACTCGACTTTTCAGATTTTTTTCATTTTTTGTCAATTAGTAGAGTCTATGCCAGCATGAAAAAAGCCGCAAAGGAAACCTGGAAAAGTGAATTCCCCGCCAAGTTACACTCCCCGAAGTCGCAAAATTTGCTGGGTGCCGCCTGACTTGCCTATCTTTGAAGGCTTGTAATTTGACCAGTTCTTAACGAAATTTAACTATTTTTATCCCGGCATATTTCTTGTGCCCTTGAATAATTTAATTTCGGTAAAAATACACAAGAATACAATACAAACAAAATTTAAAACAGACGTAGAAAAAAAAACATATCTTTAAATTTTTAAAAAAGATATTTTGTGTAAAATTTTTTGCTCTATGGACTTTCAAAATTTTAAGGTAGTGATTTTTTGATATTGGGAGTTACAAGCCGGAAACGAATGTGAAACTGAAAAAACCCACTATACAGTAATCCCATGTATTTTACAGTGGCAAAGCCATTCGGAGCCGCTTCTGAAGGCTGCAACAGGCAGCTACAAATATCCGGTGTGCTTTAAACGTTGAAAATTTGCTATTAAAATTGTACTTTACTTTAAAAATATTTACAAATTATCATTCTAAGGAGTTGAAGCGGTAGTCTTCACCCGAGTTTTTCCTAGTCCTTGTATTTCGTGGTTTCTGAGCTCTTAGAAGTGTCTCTGTCTTGTATTCGTTAAAGTTTTCGTTAAACTCGACTCGTTCTTCTTTAAAATTATGTGCTGCAGCTCTCCAGAAACATAGAAAGTTTTAAGGAAAATCCTAATCTAAAAATTATCCAGGTAAAGCAGCAAGTTCTTAGACTTTTTTGCGACGCCAAAACATATATTAGCTACATAGTTTTGACAGAATAAAACACAAGCAGAGAGGGCTAAAATGAAGACTACCTTTTATAACTCTGCAGAGTAATAATTGGTAAATATTACTAAAGTAAAGCACTACTTTGGTAGCGAATTCTCAACGTTTAAAGCATACCGGATATTTGTAGCTGCCCGCTGCGGCCTACAGAAGCGGCTCCGGATGATTTCGTCACTGTAAAATACATAGGATTACTGTGAAAATAGCGGATTTTTATTAGTTTCACATTCGTTTCCAGCTCGTAAGTCTCAATAACGGGAAATCGCCATCTTCAAATTTTCAAAAGAGCAAAAAATTCTACACAAATTATATCTTTTTTTAAGATTTAAAGATGAGTTTTTTTTAACGTCTGTTTTAAATTTTGTTTTTATTGTATTTTTGTGTATTTTTACCAGAATTAGATTATTCAACATCTTTTTAAAAGTTCAGGGGATGAGGAATATGCGGATCAAAAAACTTAAATTCCGTTGAGAACTGGCCAAATTAAAAGCCTCCAAAGATAGGCATTTCAGGTGGCAACCTAGCAAATTTTGCAACTTTAAGGGGTGTAACTTGACGGGGAACTCACTTTTCCAGGTTTTCTTTGCTCATTTCTTTATGCTAGCATAGACTCTACTAATCAGAAAAAATGAAAAAAATTTGAGAGGTCGATGTTCAAAAGTGTGCGATTTGACATGGAATGACCCATATATAAATATATATAGATCTTATTCTTACTCCATCTGGTATTAAACCACAAATAAAAAAAAACCCCCACCTTAGAAATAGAAAAAAGTGCGAGATATACAAAATTTAATGCGTAGTTTTAGAAACAAAATTTTCATCTTATATGTATCAGACGTCCATAAATTTGAAATGTTAAACTGTACAAGTTCGTAGAAATAGTCCGACTAATGAAAAAAAGCAGGTGTTCGATTAGATTATAAAAGACCTAAAATGCATTACGCCCCTAAACGTTTCAACCTGTATATAAATGTTCAAAACTTTAAAGTCAATCTTAAAGCGGCAAACGACAATAAACAACCAAGCGTACAAATACCGTAACATAATTCCGTTGTGATATAGTATTTATGTGGACTGGTATTGAAGCATCAGTACCTATCCCATGTTTTTCCATAAGAGAAATTAATTCTGATTCAGTAAGATAATCAGGAGCCACAGTTAAGCGCTCTACCATATTTGTACTTCTGTAAATGACAAATAAAAACTACTTCCAACTGAAAACCACTGAAAAAGAAATATAAAACTACAATAAAGAAAGCTCGTCGTTAAATTTAAGTTCCGGAAGAGTAAGGTCATCGCCAACAGCATGCCAAGTCATGACTTCTGTATAACCGGGGCTAATAACTACTTTTCCAGAAAGCAAAAACTGTTCCTCGCCGACAGCAATCCTGAGGTAGTTGGAGAATTATGGTTACAACATCAAGAAATTGTTGCAAAGAGAAAACTTCGGAAAACATAAATACTGTTTTTTCAAGCAAAAAAGTTAAGAAATTTGTCTGCAATATCGATTTCAGAAATAACAAACAAATGTGCAGTATACTGCAATAACCACTTACTGTATATTTGTCGTTAGGAAATGGCATGGATTCATTAAGGTCGCAAGGAAGTGCTGTGTGATGTAGTCATATAATTTTTTTGCATCTGTAAAGCAATTTACCATTTTAAATGAGAAAGAATATTATAGTTAAATGCTTTAATAGTCCATACCGAATAAACTCAGGAGCTACGAACGAGCAACAACGAGAAAGAACTATCCCTAGAAAAGCTTTCTCCAATAAATTTCAACTACTGCTGCGTCAAAAATTTACCTCCAGAGAGCAATCCGTTGTCTGGACGCATTGGTGTAATAGGAGGATGGTCGCCTTTGTCTTCTCCTTTCCTGCTCCTTCTCACTCCATCGGCCAAAAGCTTCAAATGTAATTTCCAAATAGAACATATTAACATTTTTTATGAAGTATAAGACATTATACTTAACACTTATATTTAGTAGAAAAATGCCTCAATCAAAAACTTCTACATTTGTAATCAAAAAGAAATTATACGTTTCAATGTGACCCTAATAAAAAGTGATTCTTAATCTTCTTAACTCGTCCAGTTTTGCCATTTTTTCTTCACCAAATTCTTTTAAATTATCTTGGCGTGGTCAGGTTTTGGTTGTGCACTTTGTGAAACCGTCTCACTTGCCATATATATTAAGACAACTTAAATATATGAACGAGAAAGGTGAGCAATGTACGCGAAACCTGTTCAAAAAACAAAGTTAACGTTCTTTCAAGACCTGCTTTGCGATGTCTCCCCACAAAGGATTATTTTGTTGCAATCGTAAGAGTTCCAGTAAATCAAACGTTGGTGGGTAAACAGTAGTTTCAGTTCTCGGATAACTGATAAACCCCTAAAACAATAAAACGAGCAATTATTTTGTTGAAAAAGTGTGCATAAGACTCTTACTTTAGTGTACAAGTTCTCTGCGACCGACATTGTAGTTGCTGGACTGAGATTAAATGCACTGCTTGCAACCCTTAGTAACTCTACAGTATTTAGAGCCGGAGGAGGTTCTTTTTTGCCTTCTTTGCTACTTATGTTAACAACTTTTCCAGAATTTGCTCTCTGAAACACTGCTACAATTACAAAACCGTAGAAAAGCATGTAATACAGACGCTTGAATAAAACTTCACGATATGAGTATGCAAAAGTGCTCCTTATTTACACCCTGATAAAGATAAAAACAATCAATACGAAGCAACAATAATGCATTAAGCATGATCGGAAGTGAACTGTTACTGAGCAGAAACAAGTAGCCCGAAAACTAAAACACAGAAGAACTCGATAACCACCTTTATCCGATCTAGCAAGAGCTGACAAACTTCTTTATCAAATATACGTCCTCTACTATGCTCAGGTTTCAACTGAACGTGGTCTGCAGTTTCAAATGAGGTCTAGAACAGAGAAATTTACAGCAAAATTGAATTAGCAGCAAGTAAAATGACCTTAGTGAGAAAAAAAAGTGAATTTGAAAAATAGAAAAATTTCAAAGTTTCAATCATTCATGACGTTTTATGCGAAAATTTTGTTCCTCAATTCAAACGACAACTGACCTTCAGTAAATGTACTATCAATAAAAAAATTTAAAAATAAAACCAGTTATCCAAATAACCCCTCTTGGTTATGAAAACAAACTGCCACCTGAATCACCCAATACGGCTCAGGCTTAAACTGAACAATCTCGTCATGGCGCGTAACACAGAAGCCAAGAGTGGGGGTCTGACAAGGCCCAAAAGATACACAAACACTATCCAGATCCCCATATTTACCCTTGAAAAAACAAAGCAGGATTTACAACCTGGTGTGAGTTCCTTTAAATGCACTTCCTTTTTCAATAACATTATCCGAAACGAAGCGTTTTTTACACGTAAACAGTTGCAGAAGAAGCTAAGTAACAAGTAAAGTAAATATAAGTCAGTATATCTAGAGAACAAACCTGAAAATATCTTGTTTGAAATCTGGTAAATGCACAGCCAATCCTTAAGTCGAGTTCTTGACGTGCATCCACTGAAAGGCTTTCGTTAAGGTTTGGCCTGCCAAGATTTCGCATAGCTCCCTTTATTTCCTTCTCAGTCGTTGCAGAAAAATGTGCTCTGAACGACAAAACCAACTCAACCCCAAAAATTCAACCACGTACTTATATTATCATGCTGATCCTCGTTACCCACATGTTAATAAACGTCTTATTTTTCTGAAATGTTATTAACAATTAGGATAACAACCTATAAACACAGTCCATAATGTTAGCAGAAGCGGGCTGCTTCATCGATCGTTTCACAGCGTCAATAACCTAGAAATGACTTGACTTACGAACACGAAATTTACAAACACTGGAAGAAATTTTAAAACTTTTGTCAAAAAAAATGAAATGAGTTTCAGTTTCAAAAGTAATGAATCTTGTTCCTTGAACTTTAATGCTCCAAATCCGTATTTAGCCGATTTAAAGTAGAAAATACCTCAAAACATATATTTTCACCCTCTTTATCACAATCCAGCCAAAGAATTAAATATTCGCAATTCCGTGCTTCTGAGGCAAGAAACTAAAACAACTCAAAAATTGAAGGCAATAGGTAACATTGGATAAATCTTGTTCTGGTAAACAATAACTTCAGATAAATAACAATGACCAGTCAGCTCACATCACACATTTTCAATTTAGGATTAGCTTCCTTTTTTTCTGTCTTCGCGCTGAACAGTTTAATAGGATCTGTTTTTTCCCAATTGTTGAATGCTGCATTAAAATCTAACCCCATTACGTGGCCACAAGTGCTGGTCATCTAAATTGGAATGCACCAATTAATAAAAATCAGAAATCTTATTTTAAATTTCTAAGAACTTACCATTTACAAATTTGCTTGCCAGTAGTTCATGAAATATTGTTTTTAGCACCAGTAAAAAATAATGCTAATCATCGAGAAGAATACGCAGCTTCATGAACAAAAACTCAAATAATGAGGGATCAAAGAAATTTGAAAGAGATATCACAAAAGAGGGGGAGGGGAGAACCACACAGTAGTTTTCAAATAACTTTGCAGAAAATTGCAAATAAATGTTATTTATAACCAAACGAATCTCAAAGCGCGCATTTTTTTTTTACAACTTAGATTTTTTCAACTATGTCATTTGGCAAAGCCTTGGTTTAGGATTACAAACTGGAAACACAAGCTGGAAATTCAAGTTCCAATTGGACTGCAAAGAGTTTCAAATTTTACGCAAACATGCATTAATTTCAGAGCTCTTAACTCTGATTTTTAACCATGAAATATGCTTTCATTCCCTTTTTAAAAAATTAACTTGATCAGCAACATTAAGCTGTGATATGCAGCTGGCATACCAGCCTTATGAATTTTGACCAAGTTTAGAGAGAGTAACCTTCGACCCCGTACGGTCACCTATTTTAAAGTTCCTTCACTTCACAGAGTAGAAAATTCCATAAAGAACTTTTTTTTTTCTTCAAACTGATAACAGTTTCTTGTAGTTTATTTGTAAAGTTTATACTTTGAAAATGCAAAAGTTTTCATCTGAGATGGCATGAACATAGCAATTGAAAGCCTTATTAGAAAGTATGATCGTACCTATAAGCAAGTGAATAAACAAAACATTCAAAAGGAAGAAAGAAAAGGGTTTCTTGAGCATTACTCTGAAAGCAAAGCATAAATTACAAGGTCTTTAAAACACTCAATAATGAAGAACCTTACTGCTCTAAAGCGAGGTTAAGTGCTTTGAAACTATTCTGTACCTACTACTAAAATCTAAAAAAATCCAAAAGTTTAGTTGCAAGTTCATTTTTCAGGGTCTCTTTTGGTTTTGCAGATTTGCAGCCAGACTTTAATAATTTTTAAAAATCAGAAATTTTGAGATATTGAGCAAAAAGTACTAGATTCGGTGCGGAATGACCCTGCACAACTGTTAAAAAGCAACGTATCACAAATATGGAACGTTTTTCAGAAAACATCACCTCATTATAATAAAAAAGTAATACTCACTTTGAAACGTGCTTGCTTACCCATAAACTGGTCACTAAACTCGCAAACTGAACAAGCCCCATTCCAACCTGAATTTAAAACGAAAAATTTCATAAAAACCACCAGACAAGTTGCGAAAAGTGAAAACAAATCCAGACATTGAAAATATCTACCTTTCCTCTTTTCAAACCTTCCGTTTGAAAGAATTCGAGCTATGGATTCCGCAAGTATCGGCTTCTCAGCGACCATAAAAACCGCAACCATTTCCAGTTACAGAATTATAGTAGGGCTAGAAAAACAACTTTGCAGCCAAATTTGCTCTGAAAATAGATAATTTTCTTCTAAACTTACTAGGAAAAGACGAAGGCATTTCCACCGACTAATCTGTATCTGAAGTACTTAAGAAGCACAGAAACAAACAATGCATCAATGAAAGTCCGAAAGAGACTCTTTGGCGTATTTAAGTGACTGCTTTCAAACAGTAGTAAAACTCCACCATTACTGATGACTGGATACATTCATATTGAAAATAACAGAGTCAACAAAATTCATACCATTACTGTCCTAGTTAAGTTTAACACTAAAACTGCGTTATTGAAACATACAATGCGCTGCACAGCGTAACGCTACTTGCGTATTATTTGTAGAAGCGATGTACCAGATTCAATAGTTTAACTTCAGCCCCTCAGAGGTATCCTAAATATCGTCACAACCAAAGCCAACCCACGACTACAGAAACCCATTACTCCACCACCTACTACTTTAGCCAACGAATGCAAGAACAATAAGGTACTAAAAGCACGTACATAAAACCCTGGTTGATAAAGAACATCCAGACTACTAGCATTGCAGCTTACTAACAACCAAGATGCCCTAACATCCGTTTGCAACACCACGCAGCACCTAATTTTGAAAAAATGACTTTTTTTTTTTTCACGGCAGTTGTAATATAAAATGCCTCATAACTGTTTTAGACGTAACTATAAATGCCTACCCACGCGGAAACAAGTTTATTACTTCCTAATAATAACAAGCATTCCACTTAAACCTAACAACTTGTACAAATATTAAATCCAACAAACCCTAATTGAGGTATTAAAAACGAAAGTCTAACCGTCGCAGAAGCTCTTCAAAGTCAAAAAAACTTTATACTTCCAAAATTTTCTGAAAACGTCAACAAAAAAAGAGAACAAATAACTAGCGCATAAAAAGCAATAAACTCTGCACTCGCAAAACTGCGGCACATTTCAAAATCAGGAAAAATAAAATTTAAAGCTGACAACAAGGTACAACAATCAAGATAC